GGCTAATCTAAAAAACGAAGGTAAGCAGACAGAAATAATCCATACTTTATTAGTAGGTGCTACTAGCCAATTTAAATGGGGTAACACACACACACACACACACACACACACACTTTATTTAACATATGTAGCCAATTTAAATGAGGTAAAAATATTTAATATTCAATAGCAATTAATTATGTTAATTAAGGTTATGCCCTACAAAAGAGTTTTATATCATTCGTTAACAGGAACGACTAATAGCACGGTTGGAAACTAAGCAATTTTCTAGTCAAATTACATATATAAATTATCTTAATCCGAGTTACGGTTGCAAACTTATAGCATGATCATTTTAACATATTCTTTGTAAATATAAAGACCAGGGACCTAAACGGGTAAATGAGGTAAAAACATTTAATATTCAATAGCAATTAATTATGTTAATTAAGGTTATGCCCTACAAACAGTTTTATATTATTCGTTAACATGAACGACTAATAGCACGGTTGGAAACTAAGCATTTTTCTAGTCAAATTACATATATAAACTATCTTAATCTGAGTTACGGTTGCAAACTTATAGCATGATCATTTTAACATATTCTTTGTAAATAATAAAGACCAGGGACCTAAACGGGCTGAAAACAGAGTGAACTGAGCCTACTGCAGCTGAACGCGAAACACTAACTAACGCCCAGGTGTAATCTACAGTAGACACAGAAGTTGGGCCGAAGCCCAACAGATAGAGAGAAAGGAGAGGGACTTAATACTGGACCGCAAGTTGTTTAAAAAACACCAGGGTCTTTTTATAAAACGTAGGATGGCCGACGGGGCAGAAGCACTCCGTACTTTATAGCAGGTATAGATAATATAGATGGCCTGGTGTAGCTTGTACAAAATAAACAATATGTCATATTTGTTTTTTAGGGTCATTTTTTCATATTTCTAACACGAAGTGTTCTACATACATAATTTAATTCATAAGTTATATACATGAATCTTAATTTTTTAATTGTTTGGTGCAATTTGTCCTTCAATAAAACAATGAGAGGTTAAGATGGTCCTTGTTCTGTCGTGGAAAATTATTTTTTAAGCTAAGTGGCCCCAAATAGAATTTGAAGGACAAAGTAGCCGATCAAATAGTGTCAGGAGGAACACACAAGCCTTTAAATTTGTTTAAACAATTAATGCCTCATTGGCACCAATGCCAATTTAATCTCATTTGATGGTTGTCTAATTTAATTAATCAAAGAGGTAAATACACCAGGAGTCATAAAACTTGCACGTGACGGTCAGTTTGGTGCACAAACTTGTAAAATACGTGTTTCTGGTCGTTAAACTTGCACGGGCGTTCATATACGGTCACATTTCATGTACACGGATAGTTATCTTATTTTTGAAAGACGTTTTTTAAGTTTCGAAGCTCATGGTTTAGCTAACTTTTCATCTTCGTCAGCTGAGGGCCGCCATATGTGGCTAGGAACTGCCCATGACCTGGTAATCAATCCTATAAACTGAAGTCCTGCTTAATAAAGTGTGGATTACCCCTAAAAAACACGAGTTAAACATGACCCGCTCAAAGAAAAAACTAGAGAATTGTCTTAATTTTGATTAAAGAAGGTAGTATTGTACTTGGAGCCATTCAAGAATACAAAATTTAAAGTATTCCCTATATTTGCATCATTTTTCCATCACTGAAAGGGAGGCAACCCCATTCCCCCTACTCCCCCCACCGCCAAGGTTGCAGGCCAGTCGTCCCATCTCCCTCCGTCAGACACTCTGGTGTTGTGAGGGGATGGGGACACCGATTCTTCGTTTCAGCGTTGTTGTTGCAATGGTGTTGACGAAAAGTCATCAAAGTATATGAACATAAGATATTGGTTTGAATGTCTAGTGGAAACAAAGCAAGGCATGCTCGCTCAAAAAAAATCTAGATATTAACATTTTGAAACTTTAATTTAAAACAGGAGTACTTTTTATCTTGTCATACTTGCACGGGCTGGTCTCTTGGGTTGGGTGCACGTACGGTTTGGTTGATTGGTCATTGAGGTGAAGCATGACAGTACTAACTGAATGCACCTGAGCATCAAGTCTTTTTCGCGATGACAGAAAAGTTTTGTTCCTCGTCACCGGGTGATGCACCTAGTCAAAAGGGCATGGCGTTTTTAGCTCAAATCTGCAAGAGCCATCCACGTCCGGTTGACCGCTACCACAAGCCGGCAGGCTCCGTTTGGTGAGTAGCTAGCGTGAATGCGTGATGGGCTGATGGCCGCTGCTGGTGACCCTTGATGGCTCGTTGCAAGACGATTTACAGTGCATCACTTGCTGCCCGCCGCACCATCATATCTGAACTCGCTGGACTCATCTGTGCTGCTGCTTCCCTGTGTGGTCGACGAGTCAAGTGTCGTGGTCAGAGCAGTGGCTTTCGCAGCAAACGGCAACGTTTCCACGGCCTGAGCCAGAGCCCGAGATCGGCAATGCGCGCACGGGGAACGGCTCACTGTGTCCAGTCCACACTCCACACGGAGATAGGCCTTTGCCTGGCTGAGCTGATCAGTTCTTCTCATCGGCAATGGCCGCTCTGGGCGCTCTTGGGCTCGCCGGCATCTGCCGCGAGACCCTCCGCGTCATCCGCTCCCGCCCCCCGGGCTTCACCTTCGTGGCCGGCACGGCGATCGCGCTCTCCCTGATCTTGCTCGCCCACGTCGCCTTCGTCGGCGCCCTCTTCTCCGACGCCGTCGCCTCCTCTGCCGACGCCGGCCTCCTCCGCCTCGCCGCCATCTGGGCAAGCTTCTTCCTCTTGGAGGCCGCATGCCTCCTCGCCATCGTCGTCCAGTTGCTCGGCTCCGCCGCCTTCTGCGTCTTCTCCATCGCCCCGAGTTACGGCTTCACCGACGATCGCGACGCGCGCTCCCTCGCGCGCTGCCTCCGCGCCGTCCCAGAGTTCCTGCTGTCGATCTTCCGAGGTGACTCCCGCAGCATCGCGCGCCACATCCGAGCCGTCCCCAAGGTTGCATGGCGCCTCGTAGCCACCTCCTACGACGCCTTCCTCGTCCTCCTCGGCTACATCACTCTCTGGGCTCCGCCTCCGCCTGGCCCGCCAATCGGCATCCCCGCCCTCTCGCCGCTGCTCCGGCTGAGGAGAGTGAAGCGCGGGCTGCAGCTGCCGCGGACGCTGCAGCTGCTGGGCGACGCCGCGTTTCTCATCTGGGCGGCGCACATCGGCACGATCTGGCGCGTCGCCTGCGTGATGTCTGTGCTGGAGGACGCCGGGGGAGTCGGCGCCATGCAAAGGAGCGGCAGGCTCCTCGCCGGCAAGTTCTGGGCCGCGGCTGCCATTTTCTCGACGCTCGACGGCTGCGCCTTGGCCGTGCAACTGGCCTTCAAGGCGCTGGTGGTGGACGACACGATGGGCCTCAGCGTCTGGCTCCGGGTGGCCGCTGGGGTGGCGATGGCGGCGGCGCTGTGGGCGGCGGTGATGGTAGGGCTGGTGGCGCAGGTGGTGGTGTACTTCGTGTGCAAGAACGACCACCGTCAGCGACCTAGGGCGAGCCCCTAGGAAGCGAAATCGACGGCCGGCCGGAGCGCGAAGCGACACTGCAACTGAGTAATTAATTAGCTAAAGCTTGCGTCCGATTAATCCCTGGCACAATAACTAGAACAGATTATGGTAATTTCTAGAACAGTATTACCTTCTTATCGAAGATATTAGGCACTGTTATGATCTGTCAGATGAATGGCATAATCCTAGCTGTGATTTGTTCTTGCTTGACGCAAGAACTGGCACGCTCTAATCTGCAATTTTACTTTGACCCATTTTTAATCAGTGTCAATATCATGCAGTAGCACTGGAACGAGAACTGTCAAAATAAAATTAGTTTTCATGTTAATAAAAAGTTTTGATCTAGCACAAAAAGGTGTTAATGAATTGATTTGAGTCCACCGTACGTGTTCAAAATCATGAGTAGTAAAAATCAGTGAATAATTTGTATACGTACGAGTTTAGAAGTACTGTACCAAATGATAATGTAAGCACCATTGGCTTGTACTCCCTCCGTCTGAAAATACTTGTCGGAGAATTGCATAAAAATGGATGTATCTACAACTAAAATACGTCTAGATACATTCATTTCTCTGACAAGTATTTTCGGATGGAGGGAGTAATAAAAATTGCGAATTTTGAGTATGGCTCTGCCGATGCACTGAACAAGGACGCCATCGACGATGGCCGCGCGCGTCGACGTCGTGCCTTGCCTCACCATTTTGCCATTTGAGTCGATACATCTGGGCTCGACGGTGGGCGTCCCTGACGAAAATGGAAACCAGCGTATACGTGTCGACTAAGAGAGAAATGGGCAGCTGGGCGCGGCGTAGTCCATCAAAAGCAGTTCATCAGGTCGACGGGCTTGTCTTGGCTAGCTGCAAGTAATTCAGAAAAACTGAGGTCCAAACAGTACTGTTTTTATTATTATTAAACGGAGATGAAATATCTGCCTAGCCGATTAATAAAGAAGAAGACAGTTGCCCGGTTAATTTATGAAAAATCGGCTGATAACCGATACAAACAGCCTATAATCGTACTACTCACAAAGCACGAAACAATGTAGCTACACATGCGGCCCTCCTAACGCACAACAATCGCAACCCTCAACACTTAAACAACACACCAAAACTCCTGACGAGAACACCGGTAGCAAACTCCAAATCTCTAGAGAGAGGCGAGGTCGGGCTCGGGTATAGTTCCGGAAGCTCGGGGACAATTTGTAAGACCGGAGCCACGAGCACCGCTAAGGGCTCACCCTCAGTAGTAGGCAATACATGGGACATGACAGACATTGGCGAAGAATTAATTGTCCCCAACACGAGGGGGAAACAACCATAGAGCACCATCCCTTGTCCTCCGTGGAGCCAACACCGGCCACCTCGAGAGGACGCGGCGTCCGTGTGGTCTACATTATAGTCAGCGCAAAGGAGAACCCGGTTAGAGTAACCTCCGCCTGCTCTAGAAAGCTCCCAACCCATTCCAGCCAACCTTGCAATAGCTTAGTCTGATCTGCGGGTACGGACTAAAGCACCGTATCAGATGGGGTTGTCGGGGCAGCGGTAGTAGAAACGACAGACACCCAAGATGCATGGAGAAGTCCTTGGAAGGGAGCATGTTTTTTGTCGGACCATCACTTGGAGAAGGAGCTTGACGATGATGGGTGCCAAGGCGAGAGATAGGCAGCATGACAAGACATGCCAGCGAGCTGAGTGGTTGCCAAAGGTTGCAGCAATCGCGCAACTATGGCCATTCTCCAAGCAACAAGCGCATCTGAAGGGATCACTGCAATCCGCCGCACAGTGCCGAGGGACGAGGCATCTGCGGTGACAACCATGGAGCTAGGAGGGGATAAGCCTGGCTAACGACTCCAGACAACACGGGCTACCACACAGCGAACGTACCTCCTGTCATCCTTCACCCGCCTCCGCTCCACGCCCCAGGCTCACTCCACTAGAACATTTGGGAGTCGTTAGCTATTTGTAATTCCCCTAAAATATTGCTCTAATTTTGTGCAACACAATGGATGTGGGATGACAGGTGGCAAATAGAGAAAACAAAAGGCATGAATAAACGTGTACCTAAAAATACAAACCAAGGATATCATCCAACAAGGCAACACTCTTTATCATCTCCAAATAAAAAGGATGTCCATGAACAATTCAGTAATGCTCATCCTAATGTGCAATATTATTATACGCCCCTCGCCTAGAGACATGCATGCATGCTAATGTTGCTCAAATTTGTTTCTCTAGCTAGGGTGTGTGCTTATGTAGACAAGGACAAAAGGCGAGGTGATGAAGAGTGAATTGTAGATTTAGTAATATCATTTTCATAGGGATCTCTTCTTGTCAAGTGGATAATGGTCATGAAAATGTGATTGGAACAATGGAGTTCTAGTTGAGATACTCCCACGTTTATAATCATATGTCATCGATGCAAACATCTCATTCAATCATTTTGCCCCAGCCCAAATGAGCTCGGAAGCTATTTCACCCACCCCTATTGTTACAAGACTTCGATGAACTCCAACTTGTGAGAAAATGTATGCATGTCATCAATCCATCTAACCAGAACCATGTGAATGGTCATATCATTGGGGTGCATGCTATTTGGCAAGAGAATAATAAAATGTATTATTCAAAGGTCTCAGCCCACTAGAATGCTTCATATTGAATTGAAAATCTAAAGTGGTTATGAAACACAAGGTTTTTGCCTGGCTTTTAAATCAGATCGGCTAAACACCACAAACATGTTAGAGGGGAGAAACTACAACATTGGCAGCAACCTAAGTATCTCATTTGTCAGCGCACACTAAGTATTTCATTCTAGACACATCCTCACATTAGTTGTCTCCCTCTGGATTGGATTGTCTCGATTTTGCATGCCAGGGCTAGTTTTCATGCAGAGATTTTCTTTAACAATAGCTATCTTGGATCCTGGAAAGGAATAAGATTCAACCTACGAGGGCAGCCCCAAGAGATAGCTCTAAGGTCAATCTCTTGCTTTTACAGTATACGGTGCTACTGTTGGAGAACGTTGCAGAAAATAAAAAATTTCTACGCTTCACCAAGATCAATCTATGGAGTTATCTAGCAACGAGAGAGAGGAGTGCATCTACATACCCTTGTAGATCGCGAGCGAAAGCGTTCAAGAGAATGGGGTTGAGGGAGTCGTACTCGTCGTGATCCAAATCACCGAAGATCCTAGTGCCGAACGGACGGCACCTCCGCGTTCAACACACGTACAGTTGGGAAGACGTCTCCTCCTTCTTGATCCAGCAAGGGGTAAGGAGAGGTTGATGGAGATCCAGCAGCACAACGGCGTGGTGGTGGAAGTAGCGGCGATCTCGGCAGGGCTTCGCCAAGCTCAGCGAGAGGGAGAGGTGGTACGGGGAGAGGGAGGCGCCAGGGACTAGGGTGCGGCTGCCCTCCCTCCCCCCTCTTTATATAGGGGCCCTCGGGGGTGCGCCGGTCCCCTAGAGATCCATCTCAAGGGGGGGGGGGCAAGGGGGGAACTTGCCCCCCAAGCCAAGTGGGGCGCCCCCACCCCTAGGGCTTCCAACCCTAGGCGCAGGGGGAGGCCCAAGGGGGGCGCACCAGCCCACCAGGGGCTGGTTCCCTTCCCTCTTCAGCCCACGGGGCCCTCCGGGATAGGTGTCCCCACCCGGTGGACCCCCGGGACCCTTCCGGTGGTCCCGGTACAATACCGGTGACCCCCGAAACTTTCCCGGTGGCCGAAACTGGACTTCCTATATATATCTTCACCTCCAGACCATTCCGGAACTCCTCGTGACGTCCGGGATCTCATCCCGGACTCCGAACTTTCGGGTTGCCGCATACTAATATCTCTACAACCCTAGCGTCACCGAACCTTAAGTGTGTAGACCCTACGGGTTCGGGAATCACGCAGACATGACCGAGACAGCTCTCCGGCCAATAACCAACAGCGGGATCTGGATACCCATGTTGGCTCCCACATGTTCCACGATGGTCTCATTGAATGAACCACGATGTCGAGGATTCAAGTAATCCTGTATACCATTCCCTTTGTCAATCGGCACGTTACTTGCCCGAGATTCGATCGTCGGTATCCCAATACCTCGTTCAATCTCGTTACCGGCAAGTCACTTTACTCGTACCGTAATGCATGATCCTGTGACCAACCACTTGGTCACATTGAGCTCATTATGATGATGCACTACCGAGTGGGCCCAGAGATACCTCTCCTTCATACAGAGTGACAAATCCCAGTCTCGATCCGCGTCAACCAAATAGACACTTTCGGGGATACCTGTAGTATACCTTTATAGTCACCCAGTTACGTTGTGACGTTTGGTACACCCAAAGCATTCCTACGGTATCCGGGAGTTACATGATCTCATGGTCTAAGGAAATGATACTTGACATTGGAAAAGCTCTAGCAAACGAACTACATGATCTTGTGCTATGCTTAGGATTGGGTCTTGTGCATCACATCATTCTCCTAATGATGTGATCTCGTTATCAATGACATCCAATGTCCATAGTCAGGAAACCATGACTATCTGTTGATCAACGAGCTAGTCAACTAGAGGCTCACTAGGGACATGTTGTGGTCTATGTATTCACACATGTATTACGATTTCCGGATAACACAATTATAGCATTAATAACAGACAATTATCATGAACAAGGAAATATAATAATCATCATTTTATTATTGCCTCTAGGGCATATTTCCAACAGTCTCCCACTTGCACTAGAGTCATAAATCTAGTTACATTGTGATGAATCGAACACCCATAGAGTTCTGGTGTTGATCATGTTTTGCTCATGGAAGAGGTTTAGTCAACGGATCTGCGACATTCAGATCCGTATGCACTTTGCAAATATCTATGTCGCCATCTTGAACATTTTCATGAATGGAGTTGAAGCGACGCTTGATGTGCTTGGTCTTCTTGTGAAACCTAGTCTCCTTGGCAAGGGCAATAGCTCCAGTGTTGTCACAGAAGAGAGTGATCGGCCCCAACGCATTGG